GAGTGACTGATAGCGTTTAAGGTTCCTCTGTGTCTTTCCCCGGCTTGATGGCTCTTGTCTTTCTGTGTGTGTGTTGATCGCTCAGTCGTGTCCGGCTCTTTGCGACCCCATGGACTATAGCCCGCCAGGCTCCTTTGTCTATGGGACTTCTCAGGCAAGAACACTAGAGTGGGTTGCCATTTCCTTCTCCAGGGGATCTTCCCAACCCAAGGATCGAACCTGGGTCTCTGGCATTGCAGGCAGATTCTTTACCATCTGAGCCACTGTAATTGGGGCTCATGTGTCTTTTTAGCGCTGACAATGTTCTGTCATCTGAATGCACTAGTTTATTCATGCACTCTCTTCCTGAAGGGGATCTCAGTTGCTTCCAAGTATTGGCAATTAGGAATAAAGTTGCTATAAAAGCCCGTGCACAGGGCTCTGCATGGAAATATTTTCAACTCCTTTGGGTAAAAAGGGTATGATCACTGGATTATATGGCTAAGAGTGCTTTCGCAGGGGGCACTTCCCTGGAGGTCCAGCGGCTGAGACTGCGCGCTTCCAATGCAGGGGGCCTGGGGTTCCGTCCCTGGTCAGGGACCTAGACCCTGCAACTAAGCGTTCGCATGCCACAACTAAAGATGTTGCCTGCCACAGTTAAGTAAAATACCCCACGCAGCCAAATAGATACCCTTTTTTTTTTAAAGGGTGCATTTTTGTAAGAAACTGCCAAATAATTTTCCAGTTTCTTTTTAAGGTGATGAAAAAGTTCTAAACCTGACTGTGGTGATGGTTGAACAACTCTGGGAATACCCGGAGACCCCTGAAGTGTGCACCTTGTGTGGGGGAATGGGATAGGACTTGACTTAACGTCTCAAGAAAGTTTTTTTGGTTAAATCTTTTCAGCAGCCGATGGAGACCCGGGGCAGCAGTGGATGGAGCCTCTCTCCTCCGCCCGGGGCAGGGGCACCCACAGGGGCGGCCGGGCAGATGGCAGGGCCGCCGGGGGGCATCCTCCCCGTGCCTCTGCCCGCGGGGCCCCGGGGAGCCGGCCGGGCGGTAATCAGTGCCGGTGACAGGCTGAAAGGCCAGATTAAAAGCGCTGAAGGGACCTCGGTGGGTCGAGGTCAATAAATCTTGCCGGCCGCCGCAGCCTGCCTCCTGCTCCGTTCAGCAATCTGTCCGGCCGCCTTTCATGGGCCCAGTTGCTCCCCGCCACCTCGGGGGAAGCGCCACAAATCACTGTGACAGACCAATCAACAGGCCGGGAGATTTTTATACACATTGCCTCTTGAAGGATGACCCTCCCTCAGCAGCACATCAGAATAAATCTCTTCAGAAACTTTCCCGAGCGCCTCCCCCTGCCCCTGCGTGACTGGTGGCCTCCCTGTCCCCCCACCGGCAGGCCCATCAGCTCCCCACCCACCCAGCTGGGCCCGCATCCGCCCTGGGGCTCTGGCAGCTGCAGCCAGCCCGGACCCGGGGCCAGGGCGGGGGGGGGCGCTGATGGGTGACGGGGACCCCATGATGCGAAGGCCCATCCTCCCTCCAGCCTGGCCTGCCAGGTCCTGGGACTGGCGGGCCCTCAGTCCACACCGAGCTGGGCCAGGGCACCTCATTTCAGCAGGAGAAAGGAAGCTTTATAAAATAATTCATAGGAAACTTAAAACACTCAGACACCGAGAAATTGCAAATGGGGAAATATGATGGATTGTGGGTTGAAAGAAGGCGACTTCTACAGGCAAAATTGATCCCTTGGAAAATGTTTTTGTCTGCTATGAAAAATGGGCACGATCTTGCCAGGGCTCCAGCGCTATAATCCCAAAAATAATTTGCTTTTGATTTCCTCTTAGTCTCCGCAGCTCCTCTCCCCACGCGGGAGCCCCGGAGCTGGCCGGGTGTGGGGCAGGCCTGCCCCATCCAGGAGACCCGAGCTCCCTGTCCACTGGGGCTAAGTCTGCACTGTGTTGGAGGGCTACTTAGTGAGGGTCTCTCCTCGGTGGACAGAGCCCATCTCAGCTGCCCCCCCCAACCCGTGTGGGCCTCCAGCCCTCCCACTCAGTATCCCCCGAGCTGGGGACTTTCAAAAATGAAGCGCAAAATTGAATCATTGTCTCCTGGGAGAGCTGGCAGAGACCACACTACGTTTGCCCTTCTGCCTGCCGCATGCTGATTCCATCAGCAGTTCATCTCAGCAAGGACCACTTCCCCAGAGGTTGGGGAGACTGAGGCCTGAGTGGAGGGTCGTCAGGAAGAGTCAGAAATATAGCTATACCCGGGGGTCGGGGCTGGGCTTTGTGGAAGGTGGGGATACAGTCTTGGTCTCCAACCCTGAGGGGCTGTCCCCGGATAGTCCCCCGCCTGCCTGAGCAAAGCCTCTGGGAGGGACAGAGCTGTGAGTCCGGGAGGACTTGGGTCAGGGCTGCCCCCTCTTGGAGCATGTGGGACCGCAGACCCCTGGTCCACCACCTGCATCGGGGTCTCTGGGGGGGCAAGGTGGCCCATGCTCCCCAAGGAAGCCTCTTGCCCAGCACATCCTGCGAGCACCATGACATCCCCTCGCTGGATGTCACCTTGGATCTGCGGACATAGGATTCAGGCCAGAGTCACGATGAAGGGCTGCAAGGAACAGAGTCCAGGGGTGCTGCTGCAGATGCTCGACCTGGGGGGCAGCCACCAGCTTCTCGGGGTCCCAAGGCTGACGCCCGTGGGAGGGGCCCTGGAGCGCAGGCCCCCATAAGAGGTGCCGAGAGGTGGGTGATGGGGTCACAGGTGGCCCGACGGCCTCCCCCCTCCTTGAAGTCGCAGGGTCTCTCCAACGCCACCGTCCCGAGCCTTTCTTCTAGCAGGGAGGCCTGTGTCAGAGACGCAGGGAGGACAGTCCTGGAGGAAGGGAGAGCCGGGGGCCGGGGTGCTGGGCAGCGGCGCTGGGACCCTGTGAAGGCCAGGTCTCTTGCCTCGCTGGCCGACTGTGCAGAGGGGACAGGGGCAAACCCCGCTCCGGGTCAGTGGGCCCCCAGGAAAGGCTGTGTCCACAGACGTGAAACCCAGGGGTGGGGCACTCAATCCATTTCCTGCTTAGCTTTTGCAACCAGGAAGCCAAGCTGTGCCCCGGAGCCAAAGGCTTGGAGTTGTCTCTGGAAGGAGGCGACTGGTGATAAACCTTCCTAGTGGTTCGCCCGCCAAGGTCAGGGGCCCGCAGAATCCTGGCGTCACGTTCCGGCGAGGCCTGGACCAGGCTTCTTTGATTGAGTGAGTGAACCCACCTGTGCTTGACATTCCAAAGGCCACTCCCCCCCTGCCCCACGCAGGGGTCCTGGCAGCAGTGGGGGCCTGATCCTGCCACAGGCAGGGTAGGGGATTCTAGCAGCCCCTTCCATTTCCCCGGGAAGGAGCAGCGGTCCCCACCAGGAGCAGCTCCAGGGACTAACCCCCACAGGCTGGCCCTCCACGCCCCAAGCCCGGTGGTGTGTGCCCAGCACCTCCTCACACTGGGGGTGGCCTGGGGGGTACGGGCACCTTGCCCACCGTGATCCATTTCCATTGCCTCTAGATGAGGGGACGGGGCTAGTCTGCAACCAGGCAAGGCCAGCCACATACATAGGCATGTTTTTCAAACCACTGAAGGTTACCGAGGCGATTTCTAGGCTGTCCATCACCTTGTGGATGCCCGCGTGCCTCTGTCCCTCTTCCTGCCTTCAGTGGTCCTCCCCTGATGAGTGGAGCCAAGAAGCCTCTCAAAAAGACTAATTCTCGACTGGCCATGGTCACTGATCACAGTTATTTTCAGAAGCCAGCTGTGAAGGTGAGGGGGGCACTCGGAACGCAGACTCCTCACTGGGAAGCTGGGGGCTGGGCGCATCTCGATTCTCCCCCAAAAAAATTGGTGCCTCGACGAGCCCACATCTGCCTACTTCCCAGGCTCTTTGGGGCCCAGGAGCACCACTCATGGGTCTCCATATCCAGGAGGCTGGTGGGGTTGCCTGGCCCTCACGGGAGCTGGTGGACGTCCCATGTCGGGGGTTGGGCACAGGGCCGCAGGACACCTGAGCCAGCTCCACCGTCAGATCCACGTTGTGGAGGTACAGCCCCCGCGGGAGCCTGAGTGAGCCCATCGCTCGCCCCTCCCCAGATCAGAGTGCCCCGCCACCCCCTGTTAAGTGTGGTCAGTGTCCAGGGCATGTGTGTTTGCTAAAACTTCCTGGTGACTCTGCCATCTGCGAGCCGGGCTGAGACCCGCCAGCCTCTGGTTACTCAACACGATGCCTCCCAGGGGTCAGGCACCGGCTGAGGGTCGGCCCGCACGGCTCGTGTAGGAAGGCCCCAGACACAAGGTCACAAGCCCCCCCCCCCACCGCCCTCCGCCCCACGGTTACCAGGGGGCTATGGCAGTGGAGAGTAACGTGGGAAAAGATGTTGTGTGGAGACCTGTGCCGGCTCCAGGGTGCAGGCTGGCTGGGGGGTGCAGAGGGCTGAGTCAGAGCCCTGATCCCCATGCACCTGCGGCCCGGGCTGGGCCACACGCTCGCCTCTCTGGGGGGCCCTGCAGAAGGGCAGGGGGACGAGATAGCTGGAATCAGCCTTACTCTGTGTCCACAGATGGACCCCGCAGATGCCTTGCAGCGGCTTCCCCTGAATGGGGCATGGTGGCAGAAGGAACGGGGTGGGTGGGCGGACAGGCGGGTGGCTCCCAGGGCCCCTCTCCTCCAGACCATCACCTGGGAGGAGGAGCTGCGGGCAGGGCAGGAAGCTGGCGGCCCTCGGCTGATTGTATTAGACAGAGCATCATTGATCCGGCTCCGGTTTATCCCTGGTGCCTCATTTCAATAAACAGCAGTTGGAAAGAATTAGCAGGGGACGCCGCTCTCTCCCCTCCCCCGTCCTCCTTCGCCCGGGTCTTCCTTTGATTTGTCAGGAATGGACGATTTATGAGGGTTCAAGCAGGAGTCTCATTTGTCCCTGGGACGCGGGATCAGGGTACAGAGGGCACGGCTGAGCACCTGCGGTGTACCTGCCCTTACATGGGGCCACGAGCAGGAGGCAGGCACCTGGTGGGGATGGCTGGGCCGGCGTGGTGGGGGGCGCGGGGAGGTGCCACCAAATGCGGTTGGTCTGACCTCGGGAGCAACCAGCAGGAGGCAGCTCGGAGTAAAAGCTCAGGGCCGACTCAGGGTTGCCGACCAGCCCTGGTCAAACAGTTGTCACATCCCCTGGGCCTTAATTTCTCATCTGCAAAGACAGGGGAGATGTCAGATGTGTGGTGTGGTGTGTGTGTGTGTGCGCGCGCACACACGCACTGCCTGTGCCCTGTTATAATTGTATCACACGGTCGGCTTTATTTCCTGTTCTTTACCCATTGTAACAGACATTTTCCCAAGTTATTCGACACATTTTTTGAAAAATATTTTTTTAATGGCTGCAAAATTCTCGATGGATTGGTTGTAGCATAAAACCCCTAATAGTTTCCTTGACATTTAGACATTTGGGAGGCTGCTATTTCACTGCTATTATAAATAATGTTCCTAAGATCGGCCACTCAGGCTGCAGACCTCTTTCTCCGATGCCCACGGGGCTGCCTCCCCTCCCCCCGGGTCCCTGTTCGAAGCCTCCCTCTTTGCATCACTCCCATCCCATCCCTGCTTCCAAATAATTCTCTTCACAGCCTTCCCTCTTCATCGTCTGCCTCCTCTAGGTGAGCTCACAGGGCCCAGACCGGGTGGTGCTTACTCAGTGCCCCCCCCACCCCATCAACAACAGTGACTGACACAGAGGGGTTTTTCCGATCAATTCTGGGGACGCCCCTGGTGGGTTAAGACTCTTCACTCCCAATGCAGGGGGCCCGGGTTCAGTCCCTGGTCAGGGAACAAGAGCCTGCATGTCCCAACTAAGACCCAGTGCAGCCAAATAGATAAATGAATAAAAATATGTTAAAAAAATTAAATCAACTCTGGCAATCATTACCTTTTAAACAGTGCATTGGGATATAGTTCATATACTGTACGATTCACCCATTTAAATTGCAAAATTCCATGAGGTTTGTTGTATTACATTACTAATTTTTTAATTGTGGTAATATATATATATATATATATATATATATACACACATATATATGTGTGTATATATATAAAAATCACAGCTTCCCTGGTGGCTAAGGAATCTGCTTGCCAATGCAGGAGACACAGGTTCAATCCCTGAGCCAGGAAGATCCCACATGCCGCACGCAGAACAACTAAGCCCATGCGCCACAGCTATTGAGCCTGTGCTCTAGAGCCCAGGAGCCGCAACTACCGAAACTCTCCCCGCCTAGAGCCCACGCTCCTCAAGAAGAGAAGCCTCCGCAGTGAGAAGCCTGCGCACTGCAACTAGAGAGTAGCCCCCGAGCACCCCAGCCAGAGAGACGTCTGTGCGGCAGCAAAGACCCAGCACAGCCAACACGAAGAGAAAAAAGATGCCCCAAAAACTGAAATAAAATTCACCATTTTAGCTATCTTCAAGTGCATTAGTTACAGTCACTATGTTGTGCAACCATCACCTCTATTTTGAAAACTTTTTTATCCCCCCAAGCTAGAAGTCTGTCATTTTTATCCCCCCAACCTGGAAACCTATCCTTACTTTTATCCCCTCAACCTGGAAGCCTGTCCTCATTTTTATCCCCCCAACCTGGAAGTTTTGAACTGTGGTGTTGAAGAAGACTCTTGAGAGTCCCTTGGACAGTAAGGAGATCCAACCAGTCCATCCTAAAGAAAATCAGTCCTGAATACTCATTGGAAGGACTGATGCTGAAGCTGAAACTCCAATCCTTTGGCCACCTGATGCAAAGAACTGACTCAATGGAAAAGACCCTGATGCTGGGAAAGATTGAAGGTGGGAGGAGAAGGGGACGACAGAGGATGAGATGGTTGGATGGCATTACTGACTCAACGGACATGAGTTTGAGTAAACTCCCGGAGTTGGTGATGGACAGGGAGGCCTGGTGTGCTGCAGTTTATGAGGTAGCAAAGAATTGGACATGACTGAGAGAATGAATTGAACTGAACCTGGAAGTCTATCCTTATTTTTATCACCCCAGTCTGGAAGTCTGTCCTCATTAAACACTCACTACCCATTCCCTGCCCCCAACCCCTCATAACTGTTTTCTACTTTCCATTGCTATAAAACTGACTATTCTTGGTATATCAGATAAATGGAATCCTACAATATAAGTCCTTTTATATCTGGCTTATTTCACTTAGTATGATGTTTTCAAGGTTCATCAACTTTAGCCCGTGTTAGAATGTTATGCCCTAAAAAAAAAAGAAGAAGAACGTTATGCCCTTTTATGGCCCAATAGCACAAGCGTTGTCTATGAGTCAGGTGTTTAGACTATTTACAGTTAATGTGATTATTGCTATCACCTGCTGTTTATTTTATCTTCCTCCACGCGGCTCTTTGTTCGCCTTTTCTTCTTTTCCTGTCATTCTTTGGATGAACTGAGAATTTTTACTATTCCATTTTATCCCCCTTGTTGGCTTATTAGTCGTCACTCTTTATTTTGTGTTTTGGTGCTTCCTTTAAGAATTACACATCTTTAACTTATCACAGTCTACCTTCAGGTGATGCTAAACCCCTTCAAGCATATATAGGAACCTCACAACAGTAGACTTCCATTTCCCCTCCTGACCTGTGTGCTGTTGTTTCATACTTCCACGTTACGTCATAAACCCCCATAATACATTGCCACAATATTTTTTTTGCCTTAAGCAATCAGTTCCTTTCCAATTTTTTTTAACTAGAAAGAAAGCATTTTATATTTGGACATGCAGTTGCCATTTCCAGAGCTCTTCATTCCTTTGTGTGGACCTCTCTTTCCGTCGGGAATAATGTTTTCTGTCTGAAGGGTTTCCTTTAACATTTCTTGTAGAGTGGGTTTGCTGGTGATGAATTCTTTTAGCTTTTATCTGCCTGAAAACTTCTCATGTTCACTTTTGAGAGAGCCGTCAGCAGTCATAGAAACTCAACGCTGATGGACCCCCTTTTCCTTCCAGAGCCTGAAGGAGTCTGCTCAACTGTCTGCCACCTGCATTGCTTCTGGAGAGTTGCTGTCTGCCCATTTTTCTTCCTTTGTCCATTATGTGCTTTCCCCATTCACCGCTCTTAAAGTGCAATCTTCATCATTGCGCTAAGTCACTTCAGTCACGTCTGACTCTTTGCGACCCCATGGACGGTAGCCCGTCAGGTTCCTCTGTCCCTGGGAGTCTCCAGGCAAGAATACTGGAGTGGGTTGCCATGCCCTCCCCCAGGGGATCTTCCTGATCTTTCCACAGATAGAACCTGCGTCTTTTACGTCTCTTGCATTGGCAGGTGGGTTCTTTACCTCTAGCGCCACCTGGGAAGCCTGTCCTTCATCATTGGGTTTAAGAAATATAATGTGCTTCAGTGTTGTTTTCTTCATATTTCTTGTGTTTGAGGTTTGCTGAGCTTCTTGGACTCCGTGGGTTTATGGGCTTCGTCAATTTTGGAAAAGTCTAGCCATTATTTCTTCATGTATTTTTCTGTCCCCACTTTTCCACCCTGGTCTCTCGCAGGGCTCCAGTGGCAGGTGCATCAGTCCCACTTCTCCTGGTTGTTTTCCTCTGTTTCATTTCAGGCAGTCTCTCTTACTACGTCGTCAAGTTAACTTGCCATCTTTCCTTCTTCGGTGCCTGCTCTGCTATTAATCCCATCCAGTGTTTTTCATGTCTAGAAATTCGATGAGGGGCTTTTCTTATATCATCCACATTTGTCCATGACGTGCCTAGTCTCCCCTCTCCCTTCTGCAAGGAGGGAGCAGGATAACACCTGCTTTAACGGTCGTGTCTAGTGACTCATCTGTGTCGTTTCTGAGTCCTCGTACTGAGTGAGCTTCCTCTTCACCGTGGGTCACATCTCCCTTGCGTGCCTAGTAATTTTTGCGTGCGTGCCAGACATCTTGTGTTGGATTTTCCTGTGCCCCTGTAGATCCTCTTGAGCTTTACCCAGGATGTGCTTACTGATGTAAAGCACATTACACTACGTTATGGGAAGAGTTTGCTCCTTTGGAGGCTGGCCTTTGAGCTCTCTTAGTCTGTTCGACCAGAACACTGTTAGTTTGGGGATAATTTTATGGCAATCCTGAGGCAGTGCCCTTCCGAGTGCCGCGCTGGATGTCACGTGTGTTACAGGACCTTCTCCCCGTAGGTGGTGGAAGCGTAAACCACTCCCAGGCTGAGTTCTGAGAATTACTCTTCGTGTTCCTTTCCCGTGGCTCTTTCCCAGGGTTGAGTGCTTTCCTTACGCTCGTGTGCTGGTCAGTTCTCCTGGGGCCCGAGGAGCCACTCCGCAGCTCTCTGGAGCTCCCCGACTGCACACAGTCCTCACCTCTGTGAGACTTGGTCCTCGTGCCATCACCTTGCTAGCTCCTCCTCTCTTGGGGATCACTATCCTCCAGTGCCTATATTCCTGTGTTGGACAGCCATTGTTTTATACAGTTTACATATTTTGCTCTTGGTTTTTTTTTTTTCCCAGCATGAAGGACTTTTCAGTCCCTATTACTCCTTCATAGTTAGAAGCAAAAGTCCTCCAATGGTTTAATGAATATTTCTAGGCGATTAAATGAATAAGTGAATGAGTAATGCTCTGAGCTTGCCTTTGAGCAGAGAACCTTCATCCTACTTAGGCTGATTACTCTTGCCTCAGCCCCAGGAGGGCTGGGATGTCTGACCCAGGTAGGCAGGGATACTGACTATGAACTGACCCCCAGAAGTGCAACTGGAAGGTCAACCGGTGTGGACAGTTGTAACACCCTTGGCCCGTGTGGCTGACTGCCTTCCAAGTCCTCATGGAACAATCCCTACGTGCAGCCTGGACTTCTGTGCTCTGGGGAGGAGGGGAGGTGAGGAGGGGCTCTGGGTGCCGATGAGCCCTTGCTGGTTCCCACCTTAAGCCCAGGAAGCAGGGCTGGGTGCGCTCCCCAACATGCGCTTCTCTGCCCGGTGGGGACAGCCGGGGCATCCAGGCTCATGTGCTCGGCCTCCACTCGAGCAAGGCACCACGGATTCGTAGGTCAGGGTGCCCAGCCCCCACGAGTTGACTGCACGCACAGGATCTCAGTCTTAGCTCTTCAGGCCCTGAAGTGACTGCTGGGCGCATCCAGAAATCTGGGCTCAGCTCCTGAGAGAGGAGGCTG